AAGGTATACTATCTATGTTACTTTTGAGGTTTTGTACTAATCTATATATTTCACGACTGTTTTCATTTATTTTCATTTTTATTCAAACCTATGTATCTTTAAAATATGCATATTCTTTTATATATACACAGAATCAAACCATGCATGTAACTTTGAAGAAGGAGTTCATCAAGAAAAATGAAAATCTGTTAGAGGAAGGTGCCTCTAGAATTATCACAAATTTTCAAGTGGCTCATAACGGTAGTAAGTTCAAGACCAGCCCTCACGTTTACAAAATCTTTTTCGCATCAACTACATCTGTCAAACCGGCAGAAGAAATGGATCCAAGAATCTTAGGTTTCAAGTTTGTCAAGTTTAGTGATATTCACGAAGGCAAAATGAATCCAGATTTCTTGATAGGCAAGTTTGTTTAATTACTAAATTATTTATTTGATATATAGTTTGTTTGCGTAATTATAAAGTACTAATATGATTTCTTTTATTTTAGATGTTATTGGACAAATTGTGAGTATTGGGGATGTGGAGATCTTGAATGTTGGAAAGAGACAGACAAAGAGGCTTTCTATGGAGATCCGTGATACAGAGTTAGCATTTACCTTACTAATCTAACACTAATGCTCTATATATTGGAGATTTTTGTATATTATCCTTTTCCTCAATTTCCTTTATCGTTTTCAATGTAGAAATGTTCGACTTAATTGTGTTCTTTGGGGACAATTCGCTGAAAATCTTGAAAGTGTGGCTCAACATGCTAATGATGCTGTGATTGTTGCTGTTTTGCGGTTTGGAAAGTTAAAACTTTATCAAGGTGTTTGGAGTGTTGGCAATTGCTACAACTGTTCAATGGTTATTACTGATCCAGTCTTCCCAGAGAGTTTGGCTTTTAAAGAGAGGTAAAACTAATTATATTCATAATTTTATTTATTTATCAAGTTTTATATTCTAAATATTATGTAATCTAATTTACACAGATTGCCAAAAGATGGTTTAACCCTGACCTATACTCATCCAAATCAGTTGACTATTGTCAATTATGTATCAGTAAGGGACAATTTCTTCTTGCATAGTCCTCGAAGGACTATTAGCGAAATTATTGCTGCTTCTGAGGTAATTATATATTATGTCAGTTCAATTTTTATAACATATATTTGATTCTAATATCATTATTAATTTTCAAGGTTGTCAAATGTGTTACAATGGCCACAATTATGTCTATTGACACTGAGTTTGGTTGGTATTACATGTCATGCGGAGCCTGTTCTAAAAAGGTTCTCCCTCATGATATGGATTACTTAAAAGAACTGTATCCTGAGAAAACATTTAAGAAAC